AAGATTTATAGCCTCGGAAACCCTGTGCAGGGTCGCTATGGGTCAGAACCGACTCCACGGCACTTAACAACAACCACCAATGAATGAGTCAGACTGCAAAGCCATTTGAACTGCAAGGTGGCTAACCAGCTGCTCCTCGAAAACCCTATACAGGGTCGTTATGGGTCGGAATCAACTCAAGGGCACTTAACAACAACAATATGTTTTTTTAAAAAAAAAAACACTGTAACATCTTCAAATAAATATTCCTTTCTTTTCACATTCCTGAAAGAGTAGAGTAAGCAACTTTGCAAAATCCTTGCCGAAACTAAGACATACTGAATTCCTGTGATCTAGATAGTTCATTCCTTTGTTTCTTTATCTGTGTAATGGCAATAAATGTGGTCCCTATCTCTTAAAGATTTGGGGAAAAGTCAATTAATTGATTCGTTTTCACATGCTTTGAATAGTTACTGACACATAAAAAATTCTCAATAATGTTCATTAATATAAGAATCATCATAATTATCATATGCAGATATTGGAACTTATGGGAAAAGATACAGCTTCAAATGGTTTGTTTTTCATAATACAATGTTATTTTAGATCCCTTTTCTCCAAATACAACACCCTGTTAATAGTTTATTCTACAACTTTGCCAAAATTAATCAATAAGCACATCAGTCTCTGAATATCCATAATTTACCTTTTTTACCTCTTCAAAAAATTGAGGTATCTGCCACTTCAGTCTTCTGAACTCTCTTCACTTCATTTAAGAGTCAATGGAGTTTACTTAAAAATATTTTTTTGTCACGTCTATAAAATTTTCTACTTTATCTCTTTCTTGTTACTATCACTCTATGTGTCTTAACAGTGATCTTTTTGTTTCAGTAAATTTAGGGGGGTTGAGAATGCATATCTACACTTTTTGAAGCCTCAGTATCCTTCTTTCATATACTTTACCTCTTTACTTCATCTTGGATTTTTTACCTTGTTTACACTAACACAAATAGGCACCACCCTCTTCATTCTTGGTTATGTGATCTCATTGAGGAGCTTCCTGTGATATTAAACTGTTTGGGTTTGTTTTATTTATAGTAATTCTCTTTCCTCCTTACCTATGATCATTTTGAAATGTATCCTTTGCTCACAATGAACCCTTGACTTGAGTGCTCTTTCTCCCCAAATACCCAACTACTCCCCTGACTATTACTCAACATCCTCTACTCAAGGTTACTTCAAAGCCTTTCCTAATTTTATCAGCTAGAAGCAATGTCTCCCAGCTTCACCTCAACTCCCATAGAATGTTACTTGTGCCTCTTTAATGGCATTTATTGCTTTATTTCCTAGATACAGGGAGACCTGATAGCATAGTAGGTTACAAGTTGGACTGCTAACTGCAAAGTTAGCAGTTCAAATCTATCAGTTGGTCCTCAGGAGGAAGATGAGGCTTTGTGCTCCCATTAACGATTTACAGCCTTGAAAACCCTATACAGAGTCACTATGAGTTGGAACCAACTCAACAGCACACCACTACCACCAATGACACGATGGAGTCCTGGTGTAGTGCTGTAGGATAAATACTGGATTGCTAACCACAAGATTGGCAATTCAAACCCACCAGCCACTTGGGAAACCCTCTCTACAAGGTTGCTATAAGCCGGAACCAACTCGACAGCACTTAACAACAACAATATAATAAAATAAGAATGCACTGGTAACATGATAAACTTGCCTTCTTCCCTAATTAGGCTCAGACGCAGGCATCACATTACCTCTGAGTGACAAAACACTGGTATTCCTTAGCAACCTTTGTACAGAACTGGTGTTGCCAAAACATTACGAGTGCCTTGTCTCTACCCACATCTTTCATTACCTTATTACTAACCAGCCCAAACTGGCAGTCAACAGGGGTTGCAAATAATGTTGAAAGTTTGGAGATCACTGCCCCACACACACAACATGCTCTTTCCTCGGGACAATCCAGAGAAAGATGTGGACAGTTATAGCACCTGCATCCAAGGTACTAAAAATGTGCTCTCTTGTAATGAGAGGCCCCACTTATGTTGTGGTTGTCCTGGAACTGCCTCCCAGCCACAGCATTTCAAGAAGAGAGGACAATGAGAGAAATGGTGACTAAGTTGACTAAGTTCCCACTCAGGACAACAGCATGGTGAATTGGCTAAGAATGTGAAAGCTGAACTCAAACGCTCTGGGTTCATATCTTGGTTCTGACACTTATTATTTGTAAGCACCTAAATGAGTTAATCTGCCTAAACTTCTACGTCATCTCTTGTCAAATGAAAATTACTACCGTTTTGTTATTATAATTATCGAGTAGTATAAAACCTTTGCCAACATGTTGATACAATCAATTTAAATTATTACTAGTTATCAGCTCAATGACCGCATGCATCTAGGTGCGTTGACGGAGAATTGGCTCAGAGAGGTTTCATTGTGGTTGTTCCTAATGACCAGATTTCATACAGAGAAAAGAAGTAATTGTGAAGACCCACAATTGTTTGTTTCAAAAGAACTGCTTTGTCATGTGGTCACATATTCCTCTTACACACAAAAAAGAAATACTAGGTAAAGTTGGAGAGTAATATATTGTTTTTCTTTTACTAAATGTACCTGAATTTATACATTAAAAAAAAAAAAAAAAAAACTCTTCAAAGTAACCACATCAGAAAACCATGTATTTATTTCAATAATGCTGCCAAAAATTTTTGGAAACTCTTCCTTCTAAATTACCTTCCAAACCTGCTTCAAATTCTTTGGATGTCTTCATTGGCAACAAATTTTTATCTTTGGGAAGTTGTCAATTTGGAGAGCAGATTCAAAGCCAACACTTAGGAATAGATGGAGGATCATGATGAATCATTCCATCTGTGGTCAAAAGCAAAGAAATAAGGACCTTTTCATGTCACTTGTTCCCACTCGGCAACAGCACAGTGATTGGCTAAGAATGTAGACTCCCTGGGTTCATCGCCCTGGTTCTGCCACTTATTTGTGAGCACCTACGGGGTCAGAGAAAAAGAGGAAGACCCCCAATGAGATGGATTGGCCAAGTGGCAGCATCAATGGACTCAAGCGTGGCAACAGTAGTGAGATTGGCCCAGGATAGGGCAGTGTTTCGTTCTGCTGTGCATAAGGTCACTATGGGTCAGTACCGACTAGATGGCACCTAACAATAACAACAACAACATGAGACAAGGAGTCCTGGTGTGGCGCTGCGGGTTAATGCGCTAGACTGTAAGGTCTGTTTGGACCACAAAGTCAGCAGTTCAAACTCACCAGTTGCTCTTTGGAAACTCTATGCAGTGTCACTATGAGTCAGAACTGACTTGACAGCATTTAACAGCAACAACTTCAAAATATAAGAAGTCTTGGTGCGGTGCTGAAGGATAAGCACTAACCACAAGATTGCTGGTTCAAACCCACAAGTCGCTCCACAGAAATGCTATACAGAGTTGTGATGAGTCGAAACTGACTCAATGGCACTTAACAACAGCAACAATAAAAGATATGAACATTAAATGAGCAAGTGTATGGAAAAGTGTCCAGAACAGTGTTTGACACAGTGCTCTTTAAACACATCAGGAGTCCTGGCGTGTCACTATAGGAACAACACTGAAAAACAAACCTTGTGGTTCAGTGCTGATCCTACAGTGCCACGCCTGGACTCCTGTATCTTAATAGGTAGGCAATGTGGTGACAGTTATGTGCCGTGGAGTCGGTTTCCACTTATAGCCACCCTGTATGGGCTTTCTGAGACTGTAAATCTTATTGGGAGCAGAAAGCTTCATCCTTCTCCCGCTGAACAACTGGTAGTTTCGAATTGCTTATCTTGAGGTTAGCAGCCCGACTTGCAACCACTCGCTACTAGAGCTCCATAGATAGGCAATAGGTAACATTTTTACCCCAAAGGAGGAGTGGTTAATAGCTCTCAGTTCCTGACCAAATAAAATTTCCACTAGCTGCTTCTGGTGTGGTACTATAGGAGGTCGGCACAAGTTCAGAAGTTCAAATCTTAAAAACCCTGTGCAGGGTCACTGCAAGTTGGAACCAACTCAACAGCACTTAACAACAGCAACAACAAGGTGCTCCTTGGGAAAAAAACAGAGTAGTTCTACCCTGTCCTATAGAGTGGCTATGAGTCAGAATAGACTTGAAGGCTTTGGCAGTATCACCACTAACCTCATTTTACAAAGTAATTGAGGCACGAAGAAGTTACATATTTTGTCCATGAACACGGAGCTAGTAAATAGTGAAGCCAGAAACCAAACCTAAGTTTATATGGTATGTTTTCTAAAAAGTAAAACCCAAAACCCTGTACATTAATAGTTATGCCATCTGCTTGTAGGCACAGTGTAATTTAAACTTGATGAAAGATATTCTATTTCTCCATGTTGCTTATTTTTCACTTCTGCTAAAAACCCTCTTAGTGTTAACAAGCATTATCTGAACACTTTCCCTGTCTTCCTAAGTAACAGAATGAGAAAATAGTCTGATCTTCTACCTTCCTGGTTTTCTACGATCCCTGCACAATTCTGTTCTTGCCACATTAGGCCTTTCGCCCTATAGCTTCTCAGCCTTGTGCCAGAACGGTTTCTCTCCTCATGTTTCTTCATGCCTCTTTCAAAACTCCCTCCTTAAATTCACTTTTTCCATTGCAGTGTACAGTAGATTAACCTCACTCAACTAATGGGGAGAGGAAAAGGAAGAGTAGGGAAAAGAAAGACATTAAAATGGTTTTAAGTCTCTTTGAAAAGCAATTTATATATACATAATTTATATAAATGTAATACTTTATATATACATAACATTTTTCCATCAGCAAAATGCTTTGAATGTCTCACTTTGCTTTCCTTTGGTTTGAAATTTACGTTTCCAAATCAGCTTCATGCCAAAGCCAACATCATATTGCTGGCCAACTATTCAGATAAATAACAACTCCAGAGAAACATATTTAAGCAAATTGGAAAAATGAATCATGTTGGGATTTTTTTTTTTTTCAGGATAAAAGAAAAATACAGGAAGAGATCTCACAGAAACGTCTGAAAATCGAGGAAGAAAAACTAAAGCATCAGCATTTGAAGGTAACTTATGGCTTTAATTTCATTTCAAGTATCCTAACTGGCACTCAAATTTCAATAGTAAAGAAGTTTTAGGAAGGGAAAACTTTCAACATAGGTGTACTAATATTTTCTTAACCATAGGAGTGTCCAACAAGATACTAAGATTTGCATATGAGATTAATACCTTCGTGAAAACTTAGAAACATGGTACCTTCTTGATTACTGAATTTCTTCATTTTCTTGGGTAATCTTGAGAATTCAGCCTTGAGAACTTGGCCCTGAACAGTCTTGCTTCACATCCCTAGGGAGTGGATCCAGCTAGGAAGTCCCTTTTGAAATCAATGAAAGGCCAGCCATCCCCTAGGGAGTACAAAACAGACAAGTGTCTGGCCTGGTTAAGGATGCTTATATTTAAAAAGCTCAATTCAGTGAATCCAATGTTGTTTCAGTATAGCAGAACTTTTGTTTTGTTTTGTTTTGACTGAACATGAGATCATAGCCAGAAATAAACCTCCATTTTTTAAATCAGACTTTATGTCTTTCTCTGGGAGTGGTCATTTTGTAAGGATATTGGGTTTCAATCAGAGTTTCCAACGAGTTCATTCAGATTTTATCCCCCTGTTGAGAATTTGCCTTGGCACTGTGGGTTAATACACTGGACTGCAAGGCCAGTTTGAACTGCAAGGTCGGCAGTTTGAGCTCACCAGCCACTCCTTGGAAACCCTATACAGGGTCACTAGGAGTCAGAACTGACTCAACAGCACTTAACAACAAAACCCTGGATATACTGAACACATAAGAGATCAACTGAGGACCTATAAGAATCACTTGGCTGCCATGTTAAAATGTAGAGTCTGATTCAGTCTATCTGTGGTAAAAATACAAATTCTCAGCACAGTGGTGTCACTAGGGGCACGGGATGGGGGTGGGGGAACAGGGTAAGTGCATACCACACGGGGTGACACTGTCAGAAGTGATGACACCAAGATGACTCTATAAAATTTTTGTACAGTGCTTCGCTCAGAGCTTTCATTGTTATCCAATTACACTGACACTTCAAATTATGTGGTTCATCTGCACATGCTACAAGTGCACTTTGTTTTTGCTGATGGTGGTGTTTTATAGTTGCTGATTTTATCAAATGTTCAAGTTCTTTAGTTATTGGTGTGGCACTATAGGATAAGCACTGGACTGCTAACCACAAGGTTGGTGGTTCAGATCCACAATCAATTCCTCAGAAATCCTATGCAGGGTCACTATGAGTAGAACTAACTCAAGGTCATTTAACAACAATGGGATAATTAGTATTTGTGAACCCACAGCAATAACTTTTTTGAGAATGAAGTAGTAAGTTAAAGGAAAACAAGAAACCAAATCCACTCCCATAGAGTCGATTCTGACTCATAGCAACTTTGTGTAGGATTTTTGAGGTTCTTTACAAAAACAGAAATCCTATTTCTCCCTCTGAGTGGCTGATGAATTCAAACTGCTGACTTTATGGTTAGCAGCTGAATTTGTAACCCACACCACCACCAAGACTCCTTAAGTAAAGGAAAAGAAGGATAAAAATCATAAAAAAAAAAAACCTTCTGCTCAATTACTAATGATGTTGTAACTAATAATGAAATTCAATGTAGAAAATTTTTACCAAAAATTTAATTGTTAGTATTCATATAACCTAAGAATATTATGCAATTTACAACTCTATTTGTCACATATTATTCTGTGGTTAAAAATGAAAATAAACATTACTAAGCATTCAGTATGGTCTGATATAGGAGGAAGTTCACGTGGGGTGGGGGGGTGGCACAATGAGTTACCCTACTGGGTGACACCAGCCCTAGTGACACTGCTGTCTCAGCAGGGAGTTGAACTGCAATGAACCAGTTTGATGGCCTGCTTTCAACATTTTATTGTGTAGCTTAGTCACAGGATGCAACCAAATGACAAACAGAAGCTCCTTGTGAACAAGTCCAAGCAAGAAATTATACTTCATCCGACAGGGCTACTATCAATCAGTTTAATAAATCCCTTCAATGAAACAAGGCAGCAAGCCTGTGGGGCCTGTGGACTTAAGTTAAACTTGCCAAATTTGGCTAAATCCAAACTTCTGCCAGGTCAAGTAACAGCTTCTAATATGAAACATAATTTAAAATTCTGATTAGCCACAATTCTCTGGACTTTGTTTCTCTCCTTTGTTCTTATACAAGTTGACATTTCAGATATCTGATGGATAGTTTCGAAGCATAGTTACCGGCCATTCTTACAGAATAAGTAACATTGAATTTACATGGGTAATGGACATAACCAAGAAGTGCAGTGTGTACTCCCAGAAAAATCAGTGAGATAAAAATAAATTTGTCAAGTGATTTCAGTGAAATTCAAATGTAGTGAAATCTACAATTTTGAGTTCGGCCATTTTTAGCCCCAAACTAGCACTTGCTCACTTGCTCACTTGCTTTCTCGCTCTCTCTGTCTTTGTCTATCTCTGTCTTTGTCTCTCTCTTACACACACACATGCACACACACACAATGAATTAATCACCACTTCTGAGTTAACTGTTGTTAAGTACCATCGAGTCAATTCCAACCCATAGCGACCCTGTATAGGGTTTCCGAGGAGCGACTGGTGAGCTTGAACCACCACCCTTGCAGTTCATATGGCTTTGCAGTTTGGCACATTAACCCACAACGCCACACCAGGACTCCTAGCTCTCTAGTATTCAATGATTACTGCCCTTGTAGAATGGGTAGTAAAATTAACAATATAACTCACAGTATAAGAAAATACCCCTTCATTTCATTTTAGGAAATAAACTCATACAGGAAAAATTTGACTTACAGAGGTTCATTTCTGAAGTGGCACCTCAGCACAGTAATGAAAATAAATAAATTCTAGAAAGTAATACATGACCTTCCCTCTAGGTTTGCATTCTTGAATCCAGGAGACTTCTAATTGAATACAATCAATACATGCCCCATGCTCTGGGCTGCTATACACAGTTGTATCAATTGTGCACTTAGCAGTTATCTATTTAGTTTAACAAATGTCTCTATTAAAGGTGTGGGATTGAAACTGAGTCTTAAATGATAAGAAAAATTTAAATACATATGCATTGAACTTGCATCTATTAAACACTTATTTAGCACCTATTATGTACAAGGTGTGCATTGTTGTTGTTGTCATGTTCTGACTCATAGCGACTCTGTAACAGGGTTTCCAAGGCTATAAATCTTTATGGGAGCAGAAAGCCTCATCTTTCTCCTGAGGAACCACTGGTGGTTTCGAACTGCTGTCCTTGAGGTTCGCAGCTCGATTTGTAACCACTACACTACAAGGTGTGCATAATAGGTGCTAAATGGGTGTGGGAGAACGATGTGGCATTTGGTTTCCATAAGTATTATAGCCATGGAAACCCTATGGGGCAGATCTTCTGTCCAAAAGCATTGCTATTAGCTGGAATAAACTCAGGGACAATGGGTTTGGTTTGTTGGTTTTATGTACAAAATACTAAGCTGAGCGTTTGTTGTTATGTGCCTTCTAGTTGATTCTGACTCATGGTGACCCTGTATAGGGTTTCCATGGCTGTGCATCTTTGTGGGAACAGAAAGTCTCATCTTTCTCCTGTGAAGCAGCTGGTGGGCTTGAACACCAAACCTTATGGTTCACAGTTCAGTGATTATTGTACAGAGCCACCGCCTCCCTAAACTGAACATTAAGTGTACAAAATAAATAAAATCTAGACTTTGTCTTTAAATAATTGACACTTCAACTTATAATGACATTTATGCAGTGATGGATCCTGTACACACGGCATAAACTGCAAAGGAAACATAGAGAAAAGAGTTCTGTAAAGAGAGAGGTGAATGAGAGAGAAGTTGTAACAAGAAGTTCCCTGTGACTTTCCAGGAGAGGAAAGGCATCCCATGAGGTGGGAATACCATGGGGTGGAAAGAATCCTGGTAGCATTTGGAGAGGAGAGGGGACGTGCAAGGCCAGGCCCTGGGGAAGTGACTGTATGCATGGGACAGTAGCACAGAGGTCCAGTGGGGGAGCACAGCTGAAAGATCAAATTCCAGGTTAGCACATTCTCAAGTACAGCCAAAATCCACATATGAAAGGCCCAGGATCCAGCCTCCTCTGGGAGATGCTGCCAGGCATTCATTAGTCTGGATTTACAGATCAGGTAACACCAACCCAAACCCTGGAGGTGTGGATGAGGGCATGTAAAAACAGTTCTGTAGTGTGGCTGTTATAGAATCCCTGAATGGCTCAAACAGTTCAGCTCTCAAGTACTAGGCAAAGAGTTAGCAATTCAAACCCACCCACAGGAGTCTCCAAAGACAGACCTGGAGATCAACAACTTTAAAAAAAGAAGTGGGTTCGAATCACCTATCTTTAGGTTGGCAGGCTAGTGTTTAACTATTGTGCCACCAGGCCTCCTTCATGAACTATGAGCAGAATTTTATAAGAATAAAATATGAACTCTTCTTCTTCCTACCAGACTGAAAACCAAGAATGTATAGCCCCACATTATCCTAATCAGGTCCCAAGAATCATTCCCTGCTCTCTATAACTCAGCATCATAGAACCAGCCATCTGAGTGTTTCTTACAGTGATAGGGTTGTAACTGGCTGAAACTACACTTGTAGGCAGTTTCTAAGGACTGCAATTTACTCTGATAGGTTTCATTGGTCTTTTGTGCTATGCATTAGCTATCTTCAAATTCCATCAAATAAAAATAAATTTATGGTACATTCTTAAAATGCTGATATACCCAGATATCTATGATATTTCTAACCCAAGGAACTAGACGTTGACTTTTATTAATGTTATTTACTGGATCTATGGGAAAACATTTTTGCAAACTGCTAATGACTATAATTAAAAACTAAGACAACACTGGCTACCAGACTGGGATAGTACAAACTGTATTTATGGTGTGTGCTGTCCACATGCAATAGCTTGAGACTCTGAAGAGGCCAATAGAAGTTGAATGTCCCTCTTATAAGTCATAATGGTTTAAGTGAGGGGTTAGATTGATATTCATTAATCCAGGGGTTTCAAGCCAAGTTCTGTGCATCTCTGGGTTTCCAGGTCCCCTCAGTGCTTCAAGAAAAGCAATTTAGGTTTTATCTATTCTGAAAATTATAGTTTCATTATTATTATTTGTAGTCAGTGTAATGTTGTACTTTGAAAACCACTGCCTTTGTTAAAATAACCATCCTTGGTAATTATCTAGTACAACCCCTTTAATTTCTTTTTTCATCCAAGGAGAAAAACTATTCCATTGGTAGTAATTCAAGTAGCCTTTAAAAGAAAAAGACAGGTATTTCTTCTTTCTTATTCTCCTTTTAGTTGTAGTGGGAGAGAAAGAAGTCCCCAAGAATTCAGAAAATTTCCCATCCTTCTCTTCCCCACATAGACGTAGTGAATCCTCAATAAATAATTATTGAATAGATAATTCACAAAGTTAGATTTAATACATATCAACATTATTTTTAAAAGAAAAAAAAAAAAAAAACTCACAGTCTTTGAAACTGCTATAACTCTATTTCTGATAGTTTCTACTGAAGACATGGAATGAATGTGAACTAAATCTAAAACCAAAACCAACTCAAAGCCAAACTCATTGCCACTGAGTGAATTCCAAATCACAGTGACCCCATATGGCAGAGTAGAAATGTGCCAAAGGGATTTGGAGGCTATGAATCGACATGGGAGCAGAAAGCTTCATCTTCCTCTCACGGAACAACTGTTAGTTTTGAACACAGACCTTGAGGTTAGCAGCCCAATGCTTAACCAATTGCATAACCAGGACTCCCTTATGTTAGTTGAAGGCCCTCCAAAGTTTATAGGCATCTCAGAAGGAAGACTTGGCAATTTGATTCTGATAAACCAGCCCTTAAAAATCCCAAGGAGCACAGTTATACTCTGATGTTGTTGTTGTTGTTGTTAACTGCCATCGAATTGATTCCAACTCATAGTGACCCTGTTTAGGTTTTCCGAGGAGTGGCTGGTGAGTTTGAACCACCAACCTTGCAGTTCAAAACTGACCTTGTGGTTGAGTGCTTATCCTACAGCACCACACCATGACTCCTATACTCTATTACTCGTTGTTTCTATGAATCAGGCTGACTGAACGCCATTGTGTCTTGTTTTTGGGGTTTTTTTCCTTTCTTTCATTTGCTTATGTCTTCCTAGGTTCAGGTCAAGGAACTTCGTTTCTTCATGCAGACTCAAAAGAATTTTTTTTCTATAAAAGGAAACCCAAGTCTTTTTGTTGTTTAAGTCATTTTGCAGATCACATTATTGTAATGGATGGAGACCAGGAGAAAGACTAACTTTGAATTTGTTTTGAATAAAACCCTCTTGTTTTGTTTACCATTCCAATCAACCCCCTAAAAGATATTTTAGAGCAGCTACTTCATGCTGTCACTGAGGTGTATAGCAATTTAACTTCAAGGAGCTTTTCACTGTGCTGAGGACACAAGATATGCACGCATCAACCAGGTGAATACTAATAAAGACATCATAGGCAAGGTCCCAGTGTGGCTGCTCCATGCAACAGTGCTGCATGATTCTGAAGCGAGAGAGCTCTTTGACGATGAGTGGGTGAGGGTACTGGGGTCTTCTAAAAGCTTCAAATTATTCTTATTTAAAACAAGACAAAAAACTGAAAATGTAAATGCAGAAAGTGACTTTAGAAGGAAGTCAAGAAGGGTATAGAGAAGAAGGAAAATATCATAAAATTTCAAAGCAGTAACAACTTTTTTCAAACTGTTGGCTGATATTAGAACATATCTTTATGTTTCCTGATATCAGAAAAAGGCCTTGAGGGAAAAATGGCTTCTGGATGGAGTCAGCAGCGGAAAAGAACAGGAAGAGATGAAGAAGCAAAACCAAAAAGACCAGCACCAGATCCAGGTTCTAGAACAAAGTATCCTCAGGTATGGCCCTCACTAACATAGTCCACAGCTATCTTTTTCTTGGCTTTGTTCAATGTTGCTATCTCACTTTTAGGGGCACAATCAGATGTTCCATTTGGATATCTCATAAAAAACACGTAACTAAGAAAACCTATCAGGAGACAACTGCAGACATTTTACTAGAAATATCACCTGGACATCACAACATAAGATTTATCTTTTAAGTATAGAGTGGTAACTTGACCATAGCTCTTTGAGCCTATTTCTTCACCTACAAAATGATAGTAACATTACCTACTCTATAGCATTGTTGTGTAGATTCTAAAATATATGTACTAAGCTGCGCATGGTTGTTGTTGTTGTTAAGTGCCGTCGAGTCGGTTCCGACCCATAGCGACCCTGGATAGGGTTTCCAAGGAGCAGCTGGTGAGCTTGAACCACCGACCTTACAGTTCAAATGGCTTTGCAGTCTGACGCATTAACCCACAGCGCCACACCAGGACTCCAAGCTGCACATGGTAGGCAACCACAAACCTTATTCCTTCTTTACAGCCCTAGCCCCACTGTTACCTCAGGACAAGTGACAATTCTAAGGGTGGGTTTCTCCTGTACCTTCATTACATCTCTACCCTGAGCCTTCTCAAGTTACAGCTATTATATTTTGCCATAGAGAACAGTATAGAAATACTCCACTAATATTTTCTCTCTTCTACTTTACTGATTATTTGGCCATCAGTTTTGACTTCATTTCTAGATGCCCATATGCACGATCAGTACAGAGTCAGTACACTTGTGGGATAGCAGGTGACATTGTTAAATTACCTCAGCTTAAAATGAGGCATGAGAAAACTTTGGAAAGCTTAAATATAATGTGGGATTACTAATTTTATCACAGAAACAGCAATGAAGAAATAACTGAAAAAGGACACCATCGATTTCTTACCATTACATGGGAATAAAATGGTTTTTCTTGGGGTACAATAATGACAATAATTTAGAGCTTGCCTATTGTTGAAACATGGCTACCTTTCAAAACTTCCCTCTCTGCAAATTTGTTCTTTTTATTTAAGATAATAGGAAAGAAACAAACAAACAAAAAAAACACTTGGTAGCTGAGTTAGGCCACACTTTGTCCATATGTATACATTATTCAAACATAAAATCAGGCCTAGAATTAACAATATGGAAAACAAAAACTTCATTTTCAACTAATTTCCACTTTACTTTCTTAATTGTTATTGTTAAATGCCATCAAGTCAGTTCTGATTCATAGTAACCCTGTATAGGATTTCCAAGGAGTGGTTGGTAGGTTTGAACTGTCTACCTTGTGGTTGGCAGTCAAGTGCTTATCCTAATGTACCACACCAGGACTCCTCTTTGCTAATTGCATGTATTTATATATTTATAAAATCATGGGTCTTTCATCCTTAGAGTTTTAAATGTAATAATATTTAAAAGGTAATGTTTTTATTATAATTAAAATTTGTACATATAAGATCCTTCAATTATTTGCTCAAAGATATGAAGCGCTTCTGGATGGCAGACAACAAACACAATTTAAAAAAACAAATTAATTCAGTAAATCAACTGTAAACATACAGCTAGGACATTTTAATTCTTTTTAATAAGGCATTCCTTATTGAAAGTTTCTTATCAACAGTCCAGCTTAGCTGATGATGACTTAATTGCACTCCTCAACACAGAATCCTCTTCTCCGAAGGAGTCCTGAATTTAATCCCTGTAAGCACTCCACACTGCACAGATCCCTCCTTGCTTTCCCTGGGAGCCTCCTTTTTTAGAGTCTTTCCACATACTGAACACCTTCAACTTTCTTAACATCTGCTGATCATTGAAGTGGCTACACACAACCAAACTCCATTAACAAGTTTGGGCAAAATTCTGAGTAATCCCTTAACTTTTTCTAGGGTTCTCCTGATTGCTTTTACTTCTTGCCTGAATGCTCTGACAAACACATGAACTTCTAATGGTGAATTGCTTAGTGCACTCCTGTCTGGAGGAAAAGAGGGAAAAAAAGAGAGGCAGGGAATGAAAGCAAAATGACACACAGGAGAAAAAAAATATATTGAATCGATCATATTAAATGTCATATTTAATTACATATTGCTGTTGTTATTAAGTGTCGTCGAGTCAGTTCACCCTCACTGTGACCCTGTATAGATAGGGTTTCCATGGAGGGGTTGGTGACCTTGAACGGACAATCTTGCATTTCAAACCAACTTTGCAGTCCAGCACATCATCAGCCCACAACACAACACCAAAGAACCACTTTACATATGTGGTTCCATTAATTTTCACAATCCAGTGGGGTGCGAGGTTGTCTATGGAGGCAGTTGGGCTCAGTGATAATATTCTCACTTTCCATGCCAGGTCTGCAACCATCAGTCTTTAGCAGTCCACTGTACATTGGACCATCTTCATGGCAGCTCACAACAGCAACAACAAGTTACTATGAAATTCTGGTAGCACAAATCAATCTCTATGAGCCAAGAAAGTAACTTTATAAAGTTTTTGAAGCTCTCCTTTCTCTCCAGCCCTACCATACTCAGCATCCTCTTCCACGGCTCTCTAGTCTTCTTTGTTTAATTGCCAACTGCATGTTAGATTTATTAGCCAATTTCTGACACCTCACTACACCTACAACTTTAGTTTAAATTTTCAGGATGCCATTTACTCAATTCTCCTTTGTTAACACAAATGATTTTGTTGTTGTTTTTTGTTGCCATCAAGTCAGTTCCAACTCATAGCGACCCCATATATGCAGAATAGAATGGCTTCATAGGGTTTTCAAGGCTGAGACCTCTCAGAAGCAGATTGCCAGGACTCCCTTCTGAATGCCTCTGTAGATTTGACCATCAGCCTTTTGACTAGTAGTGGAACACTTAACAATGTGTGCCTCCAAAGGACTCCTAAACAATTTTTGCTTTTAAATATAAATACTATATTTCTAAATGACATTGTGCAATTTATAAAGCACTTGTACTTACATTAAGTCATTTGATATAGCAAGCCTAGAAGAAAAGCACTGTCACTTCCATTTTATAGGAAATGGGCTCCTAGAGGCTAAGGAGCTTAATTAAAATAAGCTCACAGGAAAAAGGTAGACTTGTGCCTAAAAGAAAGTCAGGTCCAGTGTTCTCCTGTGCAAAATCTGAAGAGAGAGAGATATAGGTAGAAAATCTCTGGAAATAAATAAAACACCCTACACAGACAAGTGTTAGCTTTAATAATCGGCAAACTACTTTTTAGGAATGGTCCTTAAAAGATATGTTAGAGAAGAATTTCATCATTATGACTGATAGAGGTATGTTTGTTATTGATGTGTGCCGTTGAAGCAGTTCATAACAACCCTGCTTCCAAGAGCAGCTGGTGGGTTTGAACTTCCAACCTTATGGTTAGCAGTCCAGTGCCAAAATATATATATATCCAGGTAACAGAATGTTCTGGAAGTAAAATATGGAGACAACATAATATCTATGCCTTGTCTACATTAAGCAACCTCCACTATTGCTCAAGGAGCTCTGGTAGCATAGTGGTTACGAATCAGGCTGCAAATCACAAGGTCAGCAGTTCGAAACGGCCAGCTGTTCCGCGGAAGATGAGGCTTTCTGCTCCCATAAAGATTTACAGCCTCGGAAACCCTGTACAGGGTTGCTATGAGTTGGAACCAACTCCACGGCACATAACAACAACAACTATTGCCCAGTATCACAGAAATCCTCAGGTATTTCTAAAGCTGCTAAATAATCAGGTGCATGTTTTCTCAATTTCATCTTTCTCCCAAACAACTACTCATAGTGCTTAGGAAGCTTTTATTACCAGCACCATTTTTAGTTGGCTCTGGATGGCAATAGAACCACCTGAATGAAGTTGAACAGGGCAGAGCCATCTTCCTTTCCAAAGCAGGGAAAGGAAATCACATTCCCAAAACCTGAATGTGATTTATCACTTGACTTAGGGGCCTGTGCAAGGGTGATAATTGCCACGCTGCCAGACCTCTCAGCTAGAGGATAAGATTTTAATGGGAACATCAAAATAGAAACATTGCTATTACCTCAGACTCTGTAACAGGGCCAGACTTTGCCCATAAAGCTTCCATTTCTTCTACTTTTTTTTATGAAATCAATGGAAATTGTATGACTTTTGATGCTTAGATCCCTGTTATGCCCACCACTAATGTATAAATTCGGTCATGTTCTTTCATCTCATTAGGCCTCAGTTTCCTTGCCTGGAATCATGACAATTATGACTACTTCCCAGGATTTCTGTGAATAAAATAACTTCCAAAGTGCCTGACACATGGTAGATGTTATAAATACATTAAATGCTCTTCTTTATTAAGAGTCAAAAATAATTTCTTAAAATACATTGCCTGGAGCTTAATTCCAGGATTTCTTTTTTTCACCAAGATCTCTCATTTCTCTGTGCTAGTGCAAAGAACCCTTTTCTTTGAGTAAACTGAGATTACCATCCAAATAGAATTTTTTCCATCTGGAAATAATTGACAGATTTTCTTGATTGCTTGGTTAGAATGCTAACACCAGTTGTTGTCGAGTTGACACCAACTCACGGCACCCCACATGTGTCAGAGCAGCACTGTGCTCCATGAGGTTGTCAATGACTGTTTCTTTGGAAGTAGATCAGCAGGTTATTTTCTAGGACTCCTCTGTGAGTACTCAGAATTTCAGTCTTTCAGTCAGCAGCTAAACACTTTGGCCATTTGCACCTAGGGATTCCAGAAGGTTAATAATAGGGGTTCATTTTTGCAGAGCCAAATTGTCTATGGACCAAGCACTGTGCTAATAATTTTGTATATTATTTCAATGAATTCTCACAATTATGCTAGTAAGGAGATAGCATTTAACAGAGGAGAAAATAGACGCTTATAAAGAGTACTTTGCCCCAAGTCACACAGCTAAATAGCCAAAGTCAGAATTTAAGACCTAATTGAAAGTCCTAATCAGAAAAATAAACTTATGCCTCATATGCTGCAGAAAAATTCA